GTTCCACAGGGCGGGTGCCACTACCAAGAAGGCCCTCTGCTTAGTTCCCTGTAACTTTGCTTCTCGCAGCGAGGGAACCGCCAGAAGGCCCTCGGCACTGGAGCTCAGTGTCCAGGCAGAATGATGGGGGTGGAGACGCTTCTTCAGGTATACTGGACCTTAACCCTCTCCAGCCTTGTTGAACAGGGGGCTAGGAGTGCAGCCTAAAGCATGCACTGTACTTTATGTTTACAACCCCCCCCCAAAAAAGAGATTACTTGGCCTTTTCTGGTAGAGAACACAGAGCTGAAGACTGCCTTGAAAAAGTTTGCACTTAACAAAATGAATAAGCAAGAAAGAAACCCAATGAAGTTTCCTCTCCAAATATGGTGTGTACACACACAGAGAGAGTTAATTTTGTCCCTTATCACAGTTCTACCCCTCTTACCCATTTGAACATAGCAGTTCAGATAAATGGCAGTGTAGTTCTTTTTCCAAAGGGCTTATCTCTTCTCTACATGCTTCATATCCCTTCTCATAATCAGGCAACCCATTGTTTTGTGAAAACTTCACAAGCTTTGTGGAATTCTGAATATACAGGTCACACTGCGTGCATTGTTGCTTTCGTTGCTTCGGGCCAAGAGCCTGAAGGAAACACTAGTGTTATTCCCAAGACAATTTGTGGCTTTCCCAATTCTCTAGCATACTGAACAGTGTCAAAGTTCAGTTGTGCTAAAAAACAACAATAAAACTTATTTTCCAGCTGCAAGGTGGATGTGTGCCTGCAGGCTTTCTTATTTCTTTCCCTTACCGATGACTTCTTCCCAGTTTTCTAATGCATGGCAGTGACAGGTACGACAACTCTGGCTGTAAGAGAGATATACAGATCTAGATCTAGAGGTGAGATGATATACTGTAGGCATAGATATATAGATATAGATATGCTCCCTGAATTTGCACTGAAAGCCAAATTAATCCCTGGCATAAAATCTTGCTGCTCACTTGCGTCATTCTACAGATTAATTGGCCCATTTTTGACATCAACTTTGAAACAATCCCATTTATTTATTTTAAAAAAAACTTTGTTTACAAGATATTCTGTGATCATCCATTTCTACACACATCAACCTTGATTTGTACATACCTAATAGAAACTAGCAAATGGTTCTCTTAGTACTGCTGCCACTTTATTTCCATTCTCCCATGCTATACATTGAAAAACAGAAAATATTGTTAAGGTTGCAACCCACCTTTCATTCAAATTATCGGGGCAGGTTCTCCTTGATCTCACAGCTATTTTCCTCTTCTCTTTTTCATCTAACAATATATTTAGTAATGTAAATGGGAGGATAGTTTGTCAGTACAGTGGTATCTCAGTTTACAAACTTAATCTGTTCCAGAAGTCCGTTCTGTGCTTTCCCTAATGAGGCCTCCCACCGCCAGTGCTCTTCCACTGTTCAGATTCCGTTCTTAAACCGAGGTAAAGTTTGCAAACCGGGACACTACTTCTGGTTTTACGGTGTTCGTAAACCAAATCGTTTGTGAACAGGACTGTTCTTAAACCGAAGCACCACTGTACCAGGTTCTGGAGGAGGCTAGGGGCTCTGTTTGCCGTGATTTGTTGGATGCCTTCCAACTTGTTGGCCCCTAGAATGTGGATCCTTTGAGATCTGTGACTGATAACTTATGTCCTGGTTGGTGAAATCATCATAGTCCACACATTAGCTAGTGAAGTAGTAAATGCTTCCACAAGGGAGGGTTTCGTAAAAAATAAAAATCTTTAAAAATCACATATTCTGTCTATTTGAATAACTATTGCCTAGTGTCAGGTGCAAGCTCTGTGAGTAGGTTGCGGTGGTCCAACTCCAAGGACTTTTGAATGAAATTGATAGACCCCTTGCAGAGTCTGGCTTTTGGTTTCGTTTTGGCATGGAAACTGCTTTGGCTGCCTCTGGTGGGGTGGTTTACATTGGAAAATGGACTGGGAGACTACAGCTGAATCCTTCAGCAACATTTGATACCGCTGTTCGTTATATGCTCCTGGGCTGCCTTCAGTAGGTATTAGGGGCAATGTATCTAACTGGCTCCACTCAGTTCTGAGAGAAAGGAGCAGGGAGGTGATGCTGGGAGACTGTTTTCATCCTCTTGGCCAATAGGCTCCATTTTCCCCACCCTGTGCTGTTAAAAGAAACTACCGGTATAGGTCACCCAGATATACAGGTTCCAGGGTCATCAGTATTCTGGTGACACCCAACGTCCTAATTTCCATCAGACCCCAGGGAGGCAGGTGAAAGATTGAACTGTAGTTTGTTAATGGCAAAGGATGGGGTGGAACATGCTGACTCCAGACAAAACAGAAGTATTGCTGTTAGGTAGGCCATATGATTCAGGTTTAGGTTTACAATGCATCCTGGATGGGGCTGCATTTGCCCTGAAATGTCAGGTTTGTAGCTTGACTCAGCACTCTTCCTAGATGGGCAAGTAGTGTCACTGGTGAGGGGTGCAGCTTTGGCTGGTTCACCAGCTACAGCCCTTCTTAACAAAGGTAGACTTCTTTCACAGCAATTCATGCCTCAAAGGTAAAGGGACCCCTGACCATTAGGTCCAGTTGTGACCACTCTGGTTTGCAGCGCTCATCTTGCTTTATTGGCTGAGGGAGCCAGCATACAGGTCATGTGGCCTGCATGACTAAGCCGCTTCTGGTGAATCAGAGCAGCGCACGGAAACGCCGTTTACCTTCCCGCCGAAGCGGTACCTATTTATCTATTTGCACTTTGACATGCTTTCGAACTGCTAGGTTGGCAGGAGCTAGGACCGAGCAACAGGAGCTCACTCCGTCGCGGGGATTCGAACCGCTGACCTTCTGATTGGCAAGTCTTAGGCTCTGTGGTTTAACCCACAGCACCACCCATGTCCCTTAGTATTCATGCGCTAGTAACCTTCAAATTAGAGGGTGCTCTTGCAAAGATTCTGATAGCTGGCTTCTTCCCAGGCTCAATTCAAGGTGCTAGTGTTGGCCTGCTAAAGCCCTTAATGGTTTGTCACCTGTATACCCTAAGGAATTCCTCCTTCCACATAAGCCTGCCTGCATGCTCCAGTTATCCTCTGTAGCCCTGCTCCAGTAACCTCACCACCACGAGGAACACTTGGCAATGACAAAGGGTAGGACCTTCTCTGTACTAGCACCATCCCTGTGGAATGCCTTACCATGTGAGTTGTGTGCCAGCCCAATTCACAGTACTGTTTTAATAATAATAATAATAATAATAATAATAATAATAATAATAATTTTTATTTATACCCCGCCCTCCCCAGCCAAGGCCGGGCTCAGAGCGGCTTACAAGCAATAATAAAAACAAACTGAATGATTACAACTTAAAAACAAAATTAAAATACAACATTAAAATATGGAAACATTAAAATATTAAAATGTAGCCTCATCGCAGGAGGAGAAGGAAAGGGAAAAAGAAAGAAAGGGAGGGAGGGAATCAAATTGGCTCCAAGCCAAAGGCCAGGCGGAACAACTCTGTCTAACAGGCCCTGCGGAAAGAAATCAGATCCTGCAGGGCCCTGGTCTCAGGAGGCAGAGCGTTCCACCAGGCCGGAGCCAGAGTTGAAAAGGCCCTGGCTCTGGTTGAAGCCAATCTAACTTCCTTAGGGCCTGGGACCACTAGGGTGTTGCTATTTATGGACCTTGAGGCTCTCCGTGGGGCATACCGGGAGAGGCGGTCCCGTAGGTACGAGGGTCCTAGGCCATGAAGGGCTTTAAAGGTCAAAAGCAGCACCTTAAATCTGACCCTGTACTCTACCAGGAGCCAGTGCAGTTTGAAAAGCACTGGGTGAATATGCTCCCGTGGCAGAGACCCCGTGAGGAGCCTCGCTGTAGCATTCTGCACCCTCTGGAGTTTCTGGGTCAGCTTCAAGGGCAGCCCCGCATAGAGCGAAAGCTGATGAAGACATGGCTGAATATTTATTCCCTCCCCTTTGGTATTTTGATCTTTTAATTGTGATGGGTGTTTTTTGCAAACTCTTCTTGCGGTCTTGTTTTAAATGCTAATATTTTGATTTATTTCATATGCCAGCATTTTGACTTATCTGTTTGAACTGCGAATTGGTTTATATTTTATTCCTGTTGTCTTTTTTTTTTTTTTTTTTTGCCTTGAAATCGTTCTGAAAAACAGGTGGGATATACTTTTTGTATCCAACATAAACATGCTCTCCATGAAAGGAGATTTGGTTTTATATTAAGAAGGGGGGTAATTAAGCTTGCAAAAGGCATGACTTGCCTGCAGGCTATGGACTTTTGAATGACGCGTTCTTTCTGCAAATTGGTCAAGTGGTTCCAGAGCCTTGTACTGCCATGTTGATGCCCACAGGCAGATGACAGTTATTGCTTATGAGGTAGATCAAACTACCATCATACTGCTGGGGGGTTTTTTTCCCCTTCAGTGAATGTCAGGAAGTCACAGTATACTATATGAAGTGCAAGTTCTCGCTTCCTTGAAATCCTTCCTTAAAGCCCACCTTTTACAAAAGCAAAAAGCCCTTGCTTATTCACCCCCTAAAAGTCACCATCTCCAATCACACCTAAAGCTGCAGTCTTAAACATACTGTACTTAACTGGGGAGGGAGGCTGCAGTCCTAACCCTCAAGTCTGCACATCTGGATAGGATCACACAAGCAGGGGACTCTGCTGTCATGCTGCAAGGTGAAGAAACCACAGCAGAGGCAGTGTGCTACCACCAGTGGTCCTTCCCCCCCCCACCACAGTAGTAACTGATAGGGCATTAGGCTATTTCAGGATGGAGCTACATCCATTGGATACTAGCATCTGGCTCCAGCTTGGGGCTGGTGCAACAAAAAAAGGATGGCTATAACTGCCTCCACCTTCTGCCCTGGCTGGTGCAAGTGACAAGGATGCAGTAGTGGCACCACAACTCAGTTCTGTCCTTCTCTTTCCTGGTCATAGAATCTCATAGAGTTGGAAAGGACTCTGAGGATCATCTAGCCCAACCAATATGCACCCATCCCTTATGGGGATTGAACCTGCAGCCTTGGCGTTGTCAGCACCACGTCCTTACCAACTGTGCTATTCTGTGGGTCAGAGTAAGGATTGCTCTGCTCACCTCACTGAATACAGTGAGACCTACTTCTGCATATAGGAATGCACTGCAGTTATGGGTTAACTGATTTTTCTTACTTTCATCCTTCATGATCTTTTCTTCTCACCTCCCTTTGGTTCCTCTCCACTGTCTAATTTTACATTTCCTCAGGGTTGGGACTAGTTTTTTTAAAAAAAACCACACCTTATGCTATAAAACACTATGCACATTGATGGTGCTATGTAAGTATTCATAATTTCCACGATTTAAAGTCGTCCTGAGGCGCCAGCAACCATTTCACACTCCGCATAAAGTCACATAGGATAGCTAATACTATAAAAACTTTTTATAATGCCAGTTGAGCAGTTGATAGAGCAATGGGTTGGGGGTTTTTTTGTGTGGTTTTTTTTTTTTTTTTGGTAATGTAACTTACTCCAGACACAATAATTACAGTGTAAAAAACCCCCACAGTTTACAGCTCCACTCTAGCAAGCCTGCTTGAAGAGTGTCAGAGCAGCACAAAAGCTGGCACAATTAGCTTTCATCCCTGCTGAGTTGGCAATAAAGTGAGCACAGAAGAATATATTAATTGGTATTAGTCAATCCATTTAAGATGTTCATTCTATAGTCACCTTTGCATTTTTTTCCATTAAAGAGAAAGAGAGAGAAACACAACTGTCACATCAAACTGAAAGGGAGTAGATGCAAGATTCTTTTTTTAATCCTATTGCATTCCAAGATTTACCTTTGAAAGAAATAAAAAACCCCACCAAGTTCAGGTTCTATAACACGATAACAGATGGTAAATATGACAATAAGTGATAAATATTGCAAGTTACTGACTTGCCTTTCTTTCTCTTTCACTTGTTGCTATTTTTTTTTTAAAAAAACTATGTATTGCTGATTACTGCACCTTTGAATCAGAATGAACAATTAACTGACTAATTATTCTAGTCACACCAACCCACAATGAAATCTTTATTCAGTGTTTACAGCAATCTTTGGCAAAGAATGCCTTGCTGTTTTTAAACTAAGAAGAACTGCACCCTTTGGCTCCTCTCAGCATCAGCTGCCTTGGTTTCAGTGCAGGATGCCAATAATCAGTCGTCTTCTTTTTCTTTCTTCTAAAGTAGGCACTTTTTTTATAAAAAAAATATATAAAGGAGTGAAAAGAACTATTCTCATCAATGCCCCATATATTCTGCCTGATTTATGTCCCAGTCACTGGATCTCTTCCTTCCGTATCTTTTTAACATTTATTTTCTCTACCTCAACTCCATCCTCTCCACCTCTTTCTCTCTCCTTCATATATACTAGGAACAAAAATGGGCAGATTCCTGAATCTGAAGTGCCATATGAAAGGGACATCCATGACCAGCCAATTGTGACCAATTCAGCTGGTCAGAAAAGAACACAAACCTCTTCTGGGAAGAAGGAAGAGAAGCATTCACTTTGTTTTAGAGCACACAAAACAAAACAAAAACTAACGTTTACCTATTTACAGTGAAACCGAGGTTTTGGGATACTTTCTGTCCTGCTGATGCTTCTCAACCTGCTTTCAGTGCTCTCACAATTCACTTCCTCTACAGACTGCCTCTCCAATTAAAAGTGATGCTCTGCTACAGATCACTGCATCCCTACTGTCACTTACGGAGGTTAAGGACATGGCATGGTAAAAGATCCCCCATCTCCTTAGAGTCTCTCTGAACAGAACTCACAACTTCTGCAAAAGCTCTCTGTATGTAGAGGACTCTTTGCTTTGCTCTGCCTTGTGCAACACTCTTTAAAACCTACCAGGCTCCTGTTTTTAGATCCTTAAATGCATACAGCTCCTACTATCCTCTGTTTGGTCTCCATCTTTATAAAGCTTCCCTGTGCTCCCCCACCCCCTCACAGAGGTCTTTCTGTAGCAAATGTCTCTACTGACCATGGAAGGGCTGCCCACTGCCCGAACACCCCAAATAGGCCGCTCACACTTGCCACGGGTACCACTCTTTCCCCACTGATGCAGAACTCAGCTCCCATTTTCTCAAAACAGCTGAACCACTGAGTTACGTTAAACTTCCAAAGCTCTGTTAGAAAATTCCAGATCTGAATTGCCACCGTAGCCACACCAGAGGGTCTCCTCCTTCCTTCTGTGTTCTAGACATGTGCTTATAGAATCTTAGAGGGACCCCAAGGGTCATCTAGCCCAACCCCCCACAATGCAGGAATGTCATCTAAAGCATCCATGACAGATGGCCAACCAACCTCTGCTTTAAAAACCTCCAAGGAAGGAGAGCCCGCCACCTCTGGTGGGAGTTCACCCCACTACCAAACAGCTCTTGCTGTCAGAAAGTTTTTTTACGAATGTTTAGCTGGAATCTCCTTTCCCGCAACTTGAAGCCATGGGTTCGAGTCCAGCCTCCTCTCTATTTCTGCTCCTCCACCTCTAACTCTCATTTTTAGCGTGCCTCCCTCCACAAACTTGGAGGGGGGAGGCCCCAGCTTTGAACACGACTCTCAAAGGGTGGCAACCCAGAACCCCCAAGCCTTGGTACCTGGATGCGTCCACCTTGGGTCAGATCCAAGATGACAGCTTCTTTCTTAACCCGGAGTAAGCCGCCGCGCTAACTACTCCGATTCCCTAGCTCGGGATCCAGCGCCCTGTAACTTCGGACCGAACATGGGACCAGACCAGACTGAAGAGGATCTCGGTGCCTGGGCGCTCCTTCCCCCTCAAAACACGCTCGGATCTCTCCCTGGCGCAGGAGGAAGCGCCATCCGCAGCCACGTGAAAAACCAGGCACGATCGCGCGGACCTTCCCTCAATAGGCGTCCCTTTTAGAGTCGCCGTGCGTCACTTACCCGGCGAGGTGCTGCTGCTGCTGCCGCCGCCTCTCGTCCAGGGATAAGTTGGCGGGAGACGATAAAGCGAGTCTCTCTCTCTCTTCCCTTCCAGGACCCGGCGAGTGGCCTCCCCGCCGTCGCAAGGGCGCCCCGCTCTCCTTCCCCTCCTCTCCTCGCAAGGTCCCGACACAAACTCCAGCTCGCCACCGCAGCCGCCAGAAGCCCCCGCCGCGAAGCTCGGCTCCCCGCTGCCGCCGCCGCCTGCCCACCGGCGTCGCTGTGACCAACGCCAGCGCGTCCTCTCCCCCCTTTTCCCTCTAGCGGCTCGTCAGGAGTTTCCTTCGGGCTTCCCCTCCCCACCGCCCCTAGGTAGTCAGTCGCGCGTCGAGGCCGACCTGCGCGCTGACTCAAAGAAAGAACAGCTTTCTCCGGCCGGGAGAAAAATAAAATGAGAATTAAAAAATGAAAAGCCCGCTCTCTGTCGCGGGGGAAAAAGTCGCGCGGCGTCTCTGGCGCTCGCTTTCCCTCAGAGGTTTTCTGCCGCTGAGGTGAATGTCTCACTGTTTCGCCTCAGGTCAGTGGCGGGAGGAGAAGCGAGCCTCATTCGGCACCAGCGAGTTGGGGACAAGAGACTGGAGGGAAGCTGTTGTGGACATTATTATTATTATTTTCGATAGAAAGTCGTGTTTCTTTGCTGCTCTTTTCGCGCCGCCTGCTCGCTCCTATTCGGAGCGGACGCCGTGTGCCCGAGCCGCCGCCGCCGCCGCCGCCGCCGCCGCCGGTGCTCCTTCCTCCGCTCATGAATATTCTGACGGGAGCGAACGCCGCGGAGGTAAATGGAATTAGCTGATTGGTGCCAGGAATGGGCGCCCCTTCCTCCGGGTGGGGCTGCCTGGAACCCCACCAGCTGAAAGTAATTAATGGCCGGTTGGCACCTTGAGGAGCAGACAGAGGCGGCGGCGGCGGCAGCGGCGGCAGCTCTCAATAGCAAGAAATACCTTCCCGTCCCGAGGATTATCCAGGACTAGAGCCGGATACTCCGCTTCTTAAAGCGAGCGCTTTTTTTTCTTTCTTTCTCCAAAACTCGGCTCTTCAATGCCTGATTTATATTCCCCCCCCCCCCCCCGTTTCCATTTCTCTGTCTCAACTCCACCCTCTCCGCTGGTGTAAATCAGAAGCACAGCATGTGACCCCCATCAGGTTGATGGATCCGGAGTAAACTACCACGCATCCTAGTTCCGGAACGCAGTGCCTAATACGGAGTTAGGATTCCCCACCATAGGAGCCGGCGACTCCCCAATAAAATAGAGTGATACCTCGGGTTAAGTACTTAATTCGTTCCGGAGGTCCGTACTTAACCTGAAACTGTTCTTAACCTGAAGCACCACTTTAGCTAGTGGGGCCTCCCGCTGCTGCCGCGCCGCCCGAGCACGATTTCTGTTCTCACCCTGAAGCAAAGTTATTAACCCGAGGTACTATTTCTGGGTTAGCGGAGTCTATAACCTGAAGCGTATGTAAACCGGGGTACCACTGTATTTGAGCCCCCCTCCCAAAAAAGTTGATGGGCATTGCCTTTCAAATAGTCACGTGGTCGATTGGGCGGGGTGGGGCTTACGTGCCCCCTCCCCCACATAGTTCATTCGACTTGGCACCCCCGATCCTCGCCAAGTCAGCTTGCGATTAAACGAAAAGCGAAATCCACCTGCGCGCTTTCACAAGAAACACTCCAATTAAGAGGGAGGACAAGGGGCGTCGAAGCGGACCGATTTACCCTGCAAGGCCCCTGCGCGCTCCTTTAGGATCGCACCTTTTTAAAAAAAACTCTGGGACTTTCCGGCGAAACAGACCAGGAGACCCCAGTGAGACGGAGACCCCGCCATCTCAACACCCCCCCCCCACCTTCCCGGCTCCATTCACAGCTTCACGTCGAGGACTCCCACGCGCGGGAGAAAACTCCTTATCCAATAGCGAGCCGGCCGCTGCATTCCATTTCGAACCCTTTTGCGCGTGGCTTACCGGACGTGCGGGCGCCTTTCCCTCTTCTTGTCCCGCGATCGGTCTCTGGAGGAAGCAAAGCGAGTCTCTCGCACGCGCCTCCTCTCGCTCCTTCCCTTCCCATAGACGCCGTAGCTTCGCGCTCATTCACCCAGCCGCGCCGAGAGGCGCCGTTTCCCGCGCGTGCGCACCTTCTCGGAAGGTCCCGGCGCCAAACTCCGCCGCGAGCCTCGCCTCTCCAGAAGCGCCCGCGCCCAAGCCAAGGCAGGTGGCTTGTCCAAGAGATCGGATCAGAAGAATCTTCATTTGCATCAGCCATAGCAATACAATAAAATGTACTGAAGATAGAGGTTTAAAAACTCAACTACAGTGGTACCTCAGGTTACATAGGCTTCTGGTTACAGACTCTGCTAACCCAGAAATAGTGCTTCAGGTTAAGAACTTTGCTGCAGGATGAGAACAGAAATCGTGCTCCCGCTGCGCAGCAGCAGCAGAAGACCCCATTAGCTAAAGTGGTGCTTCAGGTTAAGAACAGTTTCAGGTTAAGAACGGACCGCCGGAACGAATTAAGTACTTAACCTGAGGTACCACTGTATACCAAATACATTCTGGAGCTTTATATCAATAATCAAATAATAGATCTTATTCTAATTGCCCTCGCTCAAAACCTTGCAACACAATACTTGTCCAAGAGTTTTCTCTCCATAATCCCTCCTTCATCTCACCCGCATTTTGGTTGACATGCAGTTCATTCAGTTTCAGCTTTGTATTCTATATATATATAAAAGCATGCCTAGACATTCTGTGGTTGCACCCATAACCTGGGTTTAGGGTGCCATTTAGCTCCTAGCTTTCATATCTCAGCTTCTAACACTGAGCAGAGCAGCCCCACTGCTGAACGCGGCTTGGATTTGGCGCAAATTTATGCTGGCTTAGTTTACACTGGCTAGCTTTCCACCAGCTGCTTCTGGATAGGATTGCTCCCTGAGATTCTTCTCCCAGTTCTGTTGCCTTCTGAAAATGTACTGCTTGGGTAAATGGCTGGAGCATAGGGGAGGCTCCTTCCGCTCAAGCTAGATTGTTTGTATCGGAAACTGTAGGGAAGCACTTATAAACATCGTTCTTAAAAAGTTAGTATTATATTGTCCTCCTTTCTCTCTCCCACTCCCTCTGCCTGCTTGCCCATGTTCTAGGTGGCTCCCTCAGCCTCTGGTGCTCATTCCGCTGCTCATGAATATTCCGACAGAAGCGAGGTCTGCTGGAGTAAATTGAATCAGCCAATTGGTGCCAGGAATATGTGCCCCTTTTTATGGTAGTAGGAGTGAACTGGAAGCCCACCAGCGGGACATAATTAATGGCCAGTTGGCATCCTGATGAGCTGATAGAGGTGGCAGTGGCGGCAGCTCAGTAGACTCCTCTGCAATAGACAATCCCACCACAAGGATTGTCTTAGGATTTGCAGTTGTGAATGGTCTACCACTCAGGTTCCAGAGTGGTACAGGAATACCATGATAAGTTCAGGGGCTCAACTATATAGCCAGAATATTATCTGGGCAGTTCTATTTGAGAGGTGCTTATTGTGCTGATGGATAACAGGGTTGTTGTTGTTTTTTTTTAAAAAAGCATGGATCCACCTTTTTATTGTCGTTACTGACTTTTGCAGACTGTTAAAAAATGGTGTTATCCAGGGCTTTGCCCCTTTGCCTGCCACTGAACCTGTGCTGCATGAGGTTAGAGACAATTTCTTGTTCCAGGTATGGAGTGGGGAAAAGTGGTGGGGCCTTGCTAGTTTGCCTAAGCCTTTTGGCCTGTGTGTCCTAGCAATGCAGCAGCCAAAGAAAGTATAGCCACCTGGTCAACCTCTGGAACCAGAAAGAAGTTATTGGCTCAGCTGCTGCATGACCAATGTGCTCTCCTAATCTCGGCAACTCAATGGCCAAGGAAACCACTGGCCAGTTCCAGAGCTGAAAAGGATGTGGGGGCTCACTGGTTTGGCCAGTGAAGGTCTGAGGTCCTCTAGGTACCTTGGCAATGTAGTGGCCAGACAAGCTTAAGCCTTCCTCTCAGTCTTGGAACTGAGGAGGGGACAGATGTTGACAAACAACTGCTGTGTGGATGCTTGCCCACCTCTGCAACTCCAAAGCTGGGAGGAAGGTTGGGGGCTCATCACGTGTACCAGAGTCGACTTATTGTGATGAGCAGGGCAAATGAAAATGGGGAAGCCTGGACGAACTGATCTCCAGACCCATACTCAAAGAGGAGACTTGAGAGGAGACATGACAGCCATCTTCAGATATCTCAAGGGCTGTCACATGGAAGATGGAGCAAGCTTGTTTTCTCCTGCTCTGGAGGGTAGGACTTGAATCAATGGCTTCAAATTACAAGAAAGGAGATTCTGACCAAACACCAGGAAAACCTTTCTGGCAGTAAGAGCTGGTTGTTTGACCATTAAATGGTCTTCCTCTGGAAGTTGTGGACTTTCCTTCCCTGGAGGTTTCTAAGCAGAGGTTGGATAGCCACCTGCCATTGATGTTTGGATTGAGATTCCTGCATTGCAGGGGCTTAGACCTCAGGGTCTAACTCTACAATTCTATGATTCTATAATTCCAAGACTCTAATTCTAATTCTATGTGATTTGAATTCTATGTCATCTGGCAATGTCTTTGCCGTGCAGCCAGAAGTTGTTTAAGCTCTGTGAGTTTCAAAAATGGTTTTGGATGTGTTCTCAGTAGGGACAGTCTCTTTGGGCAGATAACAGGGCTTATACCTAAAGCAAAGCCTTGTCATAGGCTTCTTGTGAACAAGCACAAGTCCTTCATCTAAAGGGTCCTTCATCTTAAGACCTTTAGGCGCAAATGCTTAGGAATCCAAACAAACATAGACATGATGATATAATTTTATTTTATTTTATTTTTTAAAAAAGATCTGCAGTAATTTACAGATATAAACATACCATAGAAAGTTTGGGGTTCAATTTCTATATTAACATCCAATATCAATTTTTAAAACTTATTGTTTCAGTACAAAACGACTCAAATGGAATCAAGGACTCTTTTCAAGCTATAGTGGAGTTTTGATTTTCTTTTATCTGACACTGCTCATTGCAAATGAGTTACGGCTGTGGCGAATGCACCCTTTGCTTTATTGGCAGATCATACTATTTCAGAACAGCGTTCCACTGCTGCAAATTTGTTTCTTATGGAAGATGGGTAGTTCTACTACAATGTTGCTTTTTATTTTGTTGCTATTGGTATCCTAGTTAAAATGTTGCAAGCGTGGCTTACCCATAATGGCAATTTGGCGAAAGAGAAAGTGACCCACCAACA